TGCCACAGTTTGAGTTTTGAGTAAGTTTTTTACGCTAATTTACGTGTCGCCGTTGTTATTCGCATAAAATGTTTAAAATGCGACCACTCGCTATCAAACGCATCACACAGTTCAGTTCACTTCAGCTGAGTTCAGTTGTTGTTGGCCCATTAGACGCCAAACTTTATGTGCAACGGGCAAACACTTGACGCGATTCTCTCTCTATCTCTCTCGCTTTTAACAGACACTTAAGTTTGTCCCGGCCAGAGCCGAGCAGGCTGGAATGTGGCAGCCGTTTTGGCCAAACACTCGACTCGAAAGCTGCGTAACTTTGCAGCCAAAACGCCGCTGGCAACGTTTACTTTTCGACCAGGCCAACATCTCATGTGCAGCTGTTTTCAGCGACAGTTATTAACTGCCTAAAGTCACACTGATTATAAACTCAAAAGTTGCCAAATTTCGGTATACATCTGTATTCAGTTGTAAAAGAAAGCTAGCACATCTAAGAAACGATTAAAGTTTACACATCAACATTATTTTATTACACACAATACGGCAAAATCTTACAATTTTAAAGATATGCCAGCAAACGTTTCAGAATGCAGCACAAAAGGGAATAAGAAGAATGGATCTCAAGCACGAATTGTTATATGGTAGTTTTAATGCTACTTTAGCATTTCTTGGTTTATTTGCACTAACTGCTTCTTACCACTTTTTGTGCGACTTGTTGACTGCTATGCTTTAACAGTCATTGCCATTGTGATGGGGCTTCCTTCCACAATTGCAGTTGGCGCTCAGTTATGCAAATCTTGTAATGAGGTGGTAAAATACCAGACTCGACTGCACTTTTCACGTCTGACAATGACACAAATTGCTTTTGTCTTGTGTCTTCTGTCTTGAGGCTGAGACCCTGAGACTTACTCTGAGTAACTAGTCGACGAGTTCGAGTGCCCAGGGCATTGTTTATCCACTGTCTAATATGGTGCTACATGTGTTCCACGTACCGCTGAATGCCGGGCATAAAATTATGCGCAAGTTGACAATAAAGCCGGCTTGGGTTTGTGTGGGCGCCTACATCGCTTAGCAAATATACCAATTAGGGGCTGTGCTCATTAACAGAATGAATGTTGCCATGAATTTGTATACCATTCACTCATAAATTGAGCAGAATACAATAATAGTTATGAGAGATGTCGTGAGATAAGAACACGTATCGTTGAGAAATACTTTGCCCGATAGTAACAAGATACTGAAATTATTTCATTATTCGTTTTTTTTGTTTTGCCTTTGTCAAGGAATGTAAACATAGAATAACGGTATCATTCTCTAATATTTATGTACATAGATCATCAAACTTTCACGATAGTATCCATATACCTAAGTAACTCCATGCTAGAGTCCCGCTAACCTCATCACAGTGTATTATTACCAATTGAACACACTTGCTAGTGTATTATTTTAACATTTTATTTTTCTCAAAAGGAATGATTTTTATTTTTAATTTAAATATTGCGTTCAGTGACGAGATGTTTGCCAAGGCGCCTCTTTCAAAAGGCAGCTAAATGTTGAACTTGAATATAGCCTCCAATTTAACTTGGACAGCAGATTAAAAATTCTATTTCAACTTTGATGTGAAGGAAAGTTATCGAAATTAAATATGCTTTGTGTATATTTTTACTTTAGGAGAGTCACCCAAATCTACTTTGCATATATGTTTTATTTGCTAATAATTCTGAACTGGCTTAAAGCATTTTACATTGGGTTAAGCCAACCAGTTAGTTTACAGGCAGCTTTTATGATCTTTTGACACGCAAATGCCGTTAGCTGAATGTTAAACTAAAGCCAAGTAACTCGCAGATGCAGATGCAGATGCAGTTGTGGAAACCCGCCAGTTGCTGTACTGCTCTGACAAGCGTGAAATTGCGCGTCGCGACTCTCGCCAGAATCACAACAAGAGCAAACAGCAACTACAGGCGACACCCGCACTTGAACTTTTGCACAAAGTGTTCAACATGACAGCCACTAGGAAGAAGAAGAGGCAGCTTTTTTCGAATTTGCCAACTGGGGGGAGAAGTAAAGTGAAGAGCCAACTGGACAGCAGCTCTAAATTGCTAAAGCGGAAGTCACGTCGCGACGTAGTCCGCAGAGAGAGAGAGCGAGCGAGAGAGAGACAGAGAGAGAGAGAGAGCGGGTTAGGTAAAGAGCGAGATGTGGGTGGAGTTAGAGAACAGCTGCCAAAAAGTGATTGATGCGCCGTTAAGCCAAAACCAATGGAAAACATATTTCCACAAGCATTTCTCGTATTCCCTGTCCCTGTAGTCGCCGCCTGCCTTGCATTTAATTAAAACTTTTCCCCGATCGTCGCGTATCGTTTTTTATGCAAAAGTCGTCGTCCTCATATTCAGCATTTGGCATATGCAAATTTCTGCCATTTGTAGCTCCCGACTAAAAATCCATCCGTAAGGCAGTTGCTGTCAATCCACAAATTGCAATCTGCAATTGCGCCCCTGGGGAACAGCAAGTTCAGGGCCATGACATGTGTCCCACCTCTCCCCCTCTTCATCCTACTCTTTTCCTCCAACTCTCTCTTCGCTCTCAAATAGTTTGGAGTTAGGTTTCTTGTGTAAATATTAATTCAGATCAAATATCAAATATTTTGCCTGACAGTCAAAGACTCTTTTTCAACTGAAGTCTCAATGCGAGACTAACCTGTAAATATTTGCAGCATTATCGTATGACTATTGTACAAACAAAAGGCTTTAATAAGTTTGACTAGCAATAGAACTACCATTTGGGTGGGAGTCCCCTTCTCCATCTTCTCTTCTCGGTCCCTTAGCGAAAACAACATTAATCTTTGTTAAGCTGAAAATAAACATTTGGGCGCAATAGAAAGCAAGCTCCCCTGCTCTCCAGTATCGGGATCTTCTGACAATAATAGGGAAGTCACTTAATTGCCTCTCGGATGTCTTTTGACCCTTTACTGGTTCAATAAACTGCGCTATTTGTTTTATTGATTGCCTTATCAGTGCTGTGGGCTGTCTGGAATGCATTTCGTTGTGCTACACTGTAAATGACGCCTCACACTTCAGAATTTATTTCAGAACTTCTAAAAATTCTGTTTTTTTTTTAACTTTATCCATTTGTAATTTGGGTATTTTAAAATTAAAGTTTTTAAAATTTAGAGGTGATTAAAAATATCTCATAGATCTTTACGAGTGGTTAAGACGAGAAAATGTGTAAATATTAATAAATATATATATATATTATTATATTATATTATTTATAATAATTATAATCTGTTTAAAGTGTGCTTAAAATACAAATTTAAACTAAAACAATTATCAAAATCGACGGATCAAAGCATAAAGTTCAGGATACTTAACTTGTCTACTACTACTTGCCCTCTTTTTGAGCAGTATTAAAATGTACTATACTCAAATTAAAAGTTAGTATGACATGAGCAGATTTTAGAGCTAAGGCAGATAAATATATTCACCATATTCGCCAAGCCGTTTGAAAAACGATTAATTCTGATATGGCTGATTTTTTACTTGCCAATATCTCCAGCATTATTCTACATAGCTAAATCAAATAATACGTGAATTCCAGTTACTGAAATTATGATTGTATCAACTAGATACAAAAGATTAAATGACTATTCACCTCTTCTCAACGTCCGAATCGGTTACACCTATTCTACTACTTTCACAACAATTTTATGAAGTTTACCAATTGGAGTAAAAGCTTAAAATGTCTTTGAATAAAATATCAAATCTTATTCTATCTTCATACGCCCTCAGCATAGCATAATTCTCAAGGATTTTGTAGTGAGTGACGATATGTCTATATGATTGAAATTCAGGTAGCAACTAAGTCCGACTGGGTAACAAATTTGAATTTTTTACTTGGACATAGTGTGACGCAAACTTTTCGAAAAGAGTAAATTAAATAAAATAAATGACAAATTGATGCATATTAAAAAATCATATTACTTACATTATATACTTATTTTCACTCATAGTTATTTTCACTCATATTACGCCGTGAATCACATACTCGTATATATTCATAAATTCACAAAAACCATTTTTCGATTATTTATGAAAGTTGTGTGCATGTGTACATATATGTAACAGACACAGGGACGCATATCCGACCCCGTATATTTATATTATTGATAAAGTTGATTTAGCTATGTGCGTCTGCTTAAACAAATCGATCGTAGAAACTATAAGAGTTAGAAACTTAAAGTTGAGAATATAAGTTCTGGTACACCATTGGCAAAACAGATTTATTTAATTTAATCGAAAACCGTCTCGCGAAACTACATTGAACAAACTACCATCACTAAACTTACCATGTATTTAAGAGCTGGATTCAATTTATTTGCTTGTAGACTAGATCATTCTAACTTGTTTTATTGAACTTTATACATTTGCTATTTGGCCATTTTTGGAAGCCTTAAGCTTGATATTAATTATTTAAAATTGATTAGCAAAATCTCCCAGATCTTTACGAATGGTTAATACTAGTTAATGTTATTAACATATTATAATATATTAAAAGGCTAATTACTTTCATATCACATTAAGCATTTTCAAGGGCCGTTGAAAATACCTATTTAAAAAATGTCGATTTTGATTATACCTTGTAAAGATAATTTCTCGCTCTCGATTTTTATATATGTCACTAACAAAATGTTCCATACTCAAATAATAAATTTTAATGAGAGGAGTAGTAGATTCAGATCAGCCATTAATCCTATTTAAAGTAACGTTCGACCGTGATAAAAAAAAAAAAAAAAAACTTTAACATCTGATATGGTTGAATTGATTGTTATGGACAATTGCTTAGTATATCTACAATATCTTGCCAAATGGTAAAAACTATTAATGTTTCAAGTCTATCACTGTAATTATAATCGTACCAGGCAAACATTGTAGTTTGTCTAATATCGAATCAGTTTGCAAACCGCAGCAGCAGTTGAATGTTCAAAACTAAACTCTTTTATATTAATTATTATGTTTTTCACAATTTCGTACTTGGTTGTATTCACGTTGATACTATGTGATGGATATACACGTCACACGAACCTTAAATGTGAGGTACTAGAAAAGTCAGTGATCAAAATACCCATGTGTAAACTGAAAGTTATGGGTCGTGGTCGTATCGCTGCCAATGTTGAACTGGATATATTACAACTGCCAGTAGAAAGTATCCAGGTCAAATACAGTGTTTTTAAAAAACAAAATGTATATTTGCCTTTTCTTTTCAACGTCTCTCTTGATTTTTGCCACTTCATGAAACATCCGAATCGCTTAAATGTTTTCTACTACTTTCATAGGGCTCTTATGCCATATACCAATTGGAACCATACTTGCCCATATAATGTGAGTACCAGTTATAAATTCCATTGAATAATATTTCAAATCGTTTTCTATCTTCATAAACCCTTAGCATAAAATAATCATCAAGGATTTTGTACTGACTGACGAGATGTTTGCCAAGGTGCCTATACCAGAAGGCAGCTATATGTTTGACGTGAAGGTAGCCTCTAACTACACGTGGGTGGCCAACTTTCATGCTTACTTTGACGCGAATCTGAAGCAAAATTTTGCGAAAAGAACAAATTAATTCAAATAAATAACAACTTTGTGCAGACTTATAAATCTATTTATATATATAGTGTAAGCAGATAAAAAGCATATGCAACCCCGTATATATACTCTTGATCAGTACCAAGAAGATTACAAAGAATTGCATGCTCTCCCATTGATCAAATATGTCACTAACATAAAATGCGAGGTGTTTATAAAATGTACCATTCTACAATTAAAAATTTGAATGAGAGGAGTAGATTCTACATTAAACTCCATTAATTCTATTTATCATAATGTGCTTATGCACTAACGAATTTTTGATAACGGCGACATTTATAAAAAATGAGTTTTGCATTCTGATTTGGTTGAATGTTTACTCGATTGTTACGGACAATTGCTTAGCATATCTACCTTATCTTTCCAAATGGTAACATCGATTAATATTCCAAGTCTTTTCACTGTAATTATAATCATATCAGGTAACTAAAAACATGCATAAGCTAGCCATTTAAACAGTGTAGTTTGCATAATATAGAATCAATCCGCAATCTAGCGCAGCAGTTGACAGTTCTTAATTACATTTTTTCTATGTGAACTATTGTGTTGTGCAAAATGTTGTTCTTGGTTGTATTCCCGTTGATACTCTGTGATGGATATGAACGTTTCACGAATATGAAAAGTGAGGTTGTAGAAAAATCAACGGCCTATACAACGATACCTATATGTAGGCTGGCAGTTCTGGGTCGTGGTCGTGTTGGTGCCAATAGAAAATATCCTGGTCAGATACAGTGTTTGGAAAAAACAAAATGGATATTTGGCTTTTCTTTTCAACGTCACTGTTGATTTTGAAGAATCCGAATCGCTTACACATTTTCTAGTACTTTTATGCCGTTTTCCAATTGGAACCATTCTTGCCCATATAATGTGAGTACCACTCATAAATTCCACTGAATAATATTTCAAATCGTTTTCTACCTTCAAATGCCCTAGGATAATATAATTGTCAAGGATTTTGTACTGACTGATGAGATGTTTACCAAGGCGCTTGTACCAGAAATCAGCTATATGTTTAAAGTGGAGATAGCCACTAATTTCATCTGGATGGTCAATTTGGACGCGGATGTCAAGCAAACTTTTGCGAAAACAGTAAAATAAATAACAAATTGTTGCATATTAATAAAGACATAAGAGGGTATCTCGCCGTTGGTCAATCTCAATGATGTGTAGTTATTTACTGGTTTTTACTTATATCAGCGTACAAGCATAAGACTTGATAACGAGCTCGGGCCATCGACCATTGATCTACAGATAACTTTTCGGTGTTGTGCCGTGGGTCAAATTTATAGTTTTTGTTTTTTTTTTTTTTTAAATTTGGTTTTGGAGCTGTGCGTGCCGCGTCATTGCCTAAAGAGGGAGTGAGTACTGGGACTTTTGTGGAGTGAGAGACCGGGTAATAAATAAGAGTAAGTATACACTCATATGCACTCACAATTTATGACTGGGTCGATTGTCGACTGCAGACTTTGAGCATTATTCCATGCACTGCCACTGGGCATTAGGTACATCCATAACGCATTATGGAAACGCTTTCTATTTATGAAAGTTGTTGCCCCGGCCAGACAGCTGAAAATTGGTCAGGCTATAGTTCAGCTCTCAACTCCCTATTAGACCGTACCGTACCCAGTTGATTATGCTTCTATCGAACACTGAACACTTTATACACAGCAGTCACGTAGCTGCAGCTGCAATCGATATGGATTTAATTCATTTGATGGTTTCTTCTTATTCATCCGCTTCAATTGTTGCAATTCGATTAACGCACGAATTTCCATAAAGAATTTTTGTGTTGTATTCAAATAAATAAATAAAATAAGCATTTTTTTACTGCTAACTTAAATTTGTGCCGGATTCAAAAAGAGCCTGTGGATTTATGCTTTATTTATTTATAATTTTTCAGCTCGCTCATAAATACGGAATTTGGTCTGATGAACAGATTTTGCTCATACGACAATAATCATTTTTGACACTGCATCCATCAACTCAATAGAGTTTTTATGCACTGTTGCCCGCTGATTTTGTTGTTCTTGCAGATGTTGTTGTTGTGCCTGGGATTACTGTAGTTTGGGTTGTGGCTTTGCATATATGTATTTATGCATACATTGATTTGGCAACACAATTGGGTGGCTTTGGCTGGCCAACTTGCAGCACTGTTGCACCAGTTGTTAGTGTTGTTGTCGATTGAATTGAATTGGCTAGGCCACAAACATATTTTCATCACAGCTGCCACGGGGCGCCTATCTAATGCGGTCAGTGTGGCGACTCCGTGGGCAGCGGCGGCAATGCGTGTGGGCAGACCATAAAAATAATAAATACAAAATGCGACTGCAAAATTAAATACATAATTGACGCTGGCTCGTAAAACTTGCCAAAAGAATTTACAGTCAGTAAAATGGGCAAGGGAGAACGGGTGAGGCTGGCGGAGAGGGTGCATCGTTCCACCATTTGAACTTCAACCGCAGATAAACAAGCAGCTGAAGAGGAAGCTGTGACGTGAAATCTCTGTCTGTGTGTGCGTGTGTGTGTGCGTGTGTGTGTGCGTGTGTGTGTGCGTATGTGTGTGTGTGTGTTAGCTGGCAGACACATAATTCATACATTTACAAAAGCATTTATCGATTTTTTTTGCGCTAGTAGCTGCCCCAACTTTGTGGAGGACTCAGCTGTTAGTTGTTCTGTCCCCTTGCAATATTTTTTACGATTTGCAACAGACGTTTGCCACTCAGTTCCCAAAACCCCCACTAAAATAACATCTAATGCGCGCCTTTCAACAGCATCACTTTATTATATGTACTTATATACACATTGTATATAAACACACATATATATGTATATACATTGTAAGTGTAAGAGTTGTTGTGTTTGTTGTTGTTGTTGTTGGTGCTGTTGCGGTTGCCCCCGAACACGACAAATGTTTTGACGCACATCCAGTCAGGCTCTTCGGGGTCGGTCTGGTCATGCCATTAAATTCAGTGGGAATAAGAAAAGGAAAACGAAAAGTCGTCGGGAAATGTTTTCAGTTTGCTGATGATTCAGAAAAGCGAGTAAAAACATTTCGCATTGCCTTTAAAATGCTTCTTCGCAACGAGTGTTGAGTTTTATTATTGGCACAGACTCCTGGAGAGTACATTAACTGATACCTAAAATACGCAAAAACCTTTTGTTTTTAATGGGTTTGGAGTGTTTTTGAACCCTACCCGACCCATAAATAATAATGCGTGACAAAATCAGATGATTTACTTGGCTCTGATGACACTTTACATGGCCATAATTTGTTGCCAGTCCAGGCGCGCACAAATTTTACGTGTTATCAGTTGAACCACGCCAACATGCCCCAAAACCCCACACCCCTACCACTTGAGCATTGTATACTCCTAAGTTGTGGGAGTGGATGCACCAATAAACTTTTTTGTTCAAACTTTTATGCTCGGTGACAGGGCCATTAAATCAAATTCAAGTTCTTGGTCTGAATATTTTAGTTATTTTTAGGTGTTATGTGTGTCTGTCTTTTGTATGGGCGCACATTAATCGTAAATTATGTTCGAAAAATGTCACCAAAAAGTATTATTTATATCTAACAAGTTTTTAATTTGATTTGTTTTTCAATCTTTTTGCAGGTAAGTGAATGTATATATCATCTAATATTGATCGCAAATCATAGTCTAAGGAAGGATGTGCAAAAGGAATTTAAGCCCAGGGCAACTTTAATGTAAGCTATGGAGAAAATGGGAAAGGATATTATTTTACTTGCTATCAATTTACTTATATATATGTATATATGTATGTCATTTAGTAGTTTTCATAGATATGTATCTACTACTATTCTACTATTCAAACTTATACTGCTGTCCAAATTGGCTCATAAGTTCTTCGTTAATTTTCAACCGATTTTCTACTGATTTCCTTCTTGAATACGTCATTTATATCAAAAGCACATGTAAATTTGTATTACCAGCCAAAGCTAAAGTTGTATTTATAACATTTAAGAGTTTCATTAAGTTTGGCGCTTAGCACTGCATTCACATCTTTTATTTAAAAATGAAGAGCATTTCGTATATATTAAGCTTAACTCATTAAATTCTAATAAATTGTACAAAATAAATTAAATTTTGTAGTAATCATACGCCATTCGAAAAATCTTCGCAAAACACGCGAATAACTCGGAACGAGTTTCTAAAATGCGTAAGACATTTGAGAATGTAAGAAATGTTGATAGTGGAATCAGTCAACAAATTGGTTAAGGGGTCCATAAAGTGCAAGATGCAACATCTACCTGTTTGTACAGAGTATCTGCTAGTCCCATACTCTTCTGTAAATGTTTTAAAACAGAGCTAATGCTGGTCATATGTAGTCATTAGAGTTGTTGTTGTTCCCGATATGTTAATAATGCACGCATAAATTTGACGTCAGGTGCAATCAACACATTTTCGAAAGCGCCTCAAAAATATTGACACAAATTTGATAAAACGAAAATTGAAAACTCGTTTTGTGTGTTGCCAGCAGCAATTGCAGCTCCGATTACGCTCATAACTTGTCTGTCTGTCTGTTTGTATTTTTGTTTATTATTTTTATTGTGGGCCAAATTCAATTAAAAGCAGTCAACGTGGGCAGGCGCCAGTCAGAGGAGCAGCTAGGAGCTAGTAGCGTGGGATGCGACTGCCAGCAACTGCCAGAAACAACTGCACCAGCAAGTGGTATGGCATGGCATAGTTGCCTCACCATTGCGTAATCGAACAGGCTGCCTGGCACTTATCTGCATGCATGCATTTAGGCTCGACAGCGACAACTGCAGCTGGGGCGTGGCAGCATTTACTGCTGCACCGAATACGATTATAATAATTATAATGAATATGGGCGCAAAAACTCACTATAAGATGCGAAAGTTTTTGTCAAACTGCGAACCTTAATTGTGCTAACTGAAAGCAAATTTAAGCACAGATTAATTGGGTTTTTTTTTTGCAATTCATTTCTATAGATGCAGGTGAATCACAACTGATAAATT